AATAAGAAAAGAATAATATTGTTAAGAAATAACATTTCTAATTCAGGTTTAACGATGTATACAACATGCGTCATATGGCTTGCTTTCGTTCCTTTGTACTACGGTACCGGAAGCAACGTTGCATTGAGAATTACCTCAATGTCTGTAACAATCAGTCTTTCTGCATCCGTGACGGTGGTTTGCCTCTTCAGTCCAAAGGTGAAGTTTGACACTTTGAATGTTTATATAGAAACGCTCGCCTTTAAAATGAACGTGATCAAGTATTTAATTATTGTAACTCCTTGTTGAAGTCTCGGATATATTCAGTAGTTATAAATGATGACAAATGATGATCAAGTTAAATTTAAATTAATACAAGCGTGATCTATTTAGAAATTTTAGAATGCTAAAAATTTACATTTGCCTTAATGTTTCTCAAAATATATGTTATAAATGGGACAAGTTTTTAAAAAACGAATTTTAACTTACAATTCTTTTAATGTAAAAAATTGAAGCTGAATTAATTTTTTAATATACAATATCGAATTTTGTTAAATCATTAGACTAATTTTTTAATTTTAATTTAATTTATTATAAAACAATTCATTTATATATGCAGCTGTATATTATTTTAATTCGGCCTGAGAGAAACGTACGTCCAACCGTAAGGGCAGGAAGGCCCAACCCGACGAAAAGTTCGGCGATAACTGCCACAAATGCCTCGAGTATGATAGGACCAGTGACAGCAACGACAGTTTTGACAGCTGCAACTTGCGATCAAAATAAAGCTATCAAGAAACATATCGCGTCCACGATGGACTGCTCTACTCAAAGCGAATGTAAGTACAATCCCCAAGCTCTCTGTTCAATATTTCCACATGAACTTGAATATAATTTTCACGTATTTTTTATTTCTCCATTTACATACTATGTCCCACAAATTATACGCACAGCATCTCTGTATTTTTGTTCGCAGGCTACGAAATGGAAACGAAGGAACGAAAAAACGGGGATTCGCTAACGTGCATTTCGCGATCAACGCAGACAACTATCAATGAGAAAGAATTTGTGGCCGTCGTGACGAGTAATAAAAAATCGCCGGATGTGATCGTGTCCGCGAATAACATGGAATCAATAAATAATACGACAACAACGAAACGAATTAACAACAATGCGAGGATAGGTAATGGACCGCTTTCTCAAAGCGACGTTTCCTTATAGCGGAAGATAGAGCTGTCAACAGAATCACCGGTATTAACTGTTAGTTTAAAACCGATCTCGAAGAATCCCGTTATCGTCTGATTTATTCAACTGTATATATGATAGATCTACGCCAACGTATTTTTCAGCATAACGAGGTAGGCAAAATATTAGTTTTGAAGATTATTTGAAAAAGCAATTAAACACCAGATATCTCTTGTCAGGGTTCGACCGCAAAATAATAACCAGACTCCAAATAAATTGTCGAGTAATACGTACTTAAAATTATTCGTATGATTGGATTAGAGTTAAGTAAATCTGAAGTAGAAGAAATTTATTATACGTATTGTGTGAACGTGCCGAACATCTGTAATCCTTAAGTTTACCCTACGTAAAATGACAAATAAACATAAACGAAGCATAAAAGAAAGAATATTAGAATTAAAGATCGTTTTATTAAATTAATTGTGTAATATAATGTGCGCAACGAAGAAATGTATAATTTATAAGATTATTATAATTTATAATGAATCTCATTTCATCGTACTTACTGTTATTTATAATACAAATACAAAACGTAATTAAATATCAATTTTTCTGGAAAAATCTTTAAAATTATTCTAATAAGAACAAAACTTATTATATAATTTCACTCGTATCTAATAAGTAAAATAGGTAGATATTTAACGGTTTATGCATTTTATTTTGTACCCTTTTATAAAAAAACATTAATATTGATATTATTGACAATTCGACAGACACCAAATATTCTAACATTTCGAAATGCAATATAAAATTTATACATTTTATAATCCATATAATATTCTATTACAAATTTAAAAATTGAATCTTTTTCTTTATTTCAAATTATGACTTAATTTATATTTTCATTAAATTCTTAAACTATTAATCACCTTAAAGATAAGTACTTAAAAAAAAAAACCTCTTGAGATCACTTCAAACTTTCAATATTTTGCTTTATATTTTTATACATTATATATATACATTATATATTAACAATTGCGAAAAAATTCTGTATTTATTATCTCTTTAAATTCACAAAATCTCAATGTCTGCATTATCTCAACATTTCTTGTCATGTAATATGCTATCATAAAAATGTTTAAATATGATTCAATATAAATAAAAAAAAATTATCTTTGAAAAAGAATATCTTCTAATATATTTACGAGGTAAATGTAATTTAAGAATATTTTCATTTATTAGATAATAAATTAATAAATTTAAAAAAAAGAATTAGCATTAAGCATAGTGTTCATATTGCTACATAAGTTACATCTAATCATTGTAAATATATATATTTGTAAACTTAGAGATAAATTTAATGCGCATTTCATGCATCGTTTGATTAAATGAAATGTGAGTGCATTTTAGACGTATAATATATTAGGCTAATACTATAATATTAAATTTATTGTTTAGGAAAATTTTCTGCAAACTATAGGAATTGCTCTTTGTAGAAAGAACATGCGCAAATTGCACAGTATCATAATAGTGCATATTTGATTTTGATTATTATCAAATGTGATTTTTATCATTATCAGAATTCAATTAAATGTATTAGGTGTAGTAAAAAAAAATCCATTATTTTTCTATTCAATTTCATGCAAAAATAATGGATTTCTTTTTACTACACCTAATATTATAAAACAGATTCTTATTGATATGAGAAAGACTGTGTTAATTTTATATAAGATTAGATGTATTCCATTCGCGTTAAACGTTTCTATACACTGTATTAAAAAATCTATTTTATATTTTGCTGTGAAAAACTTTTAACACTGAATTCGATTATTTACAATGGCCATCAATTTATCTGTGATTTATTTGTATATATGTCAAATATAATCAATTGATGCATATTTGTAAATCATTAGATCATATCACTATACATAAAATATCTCAAATTCTTTGCACATACACGAACATTAATATGAGTACAGCTGTGTAAACTGTACTGCGTAAAGATATAATAAATAATATGTTAACATTTTTCTTTTTTTATCAGACTTTGAATATACATAAATAAGTCTGACAATTACAATTTAATACATATTCACATTTGTATCGCGCATGCGCATTCGCTGTATGATTTTTAATTTTAATAAGAAAGATAAAATTTCAGTTTTAATAAAATAACATAAAACTAGAAAACTATTGAAAACGAAAGAATAAAATTTAGCACTCGCGTATTATCGTGTCAAAAGAATATTTCAATGTGTACATTTGTTATACATTGTGCACTTTATTCAAACAATATTTAACATATTCACTGCCTTCGTATCCGAAACCGACTCTCGATGTGATTCCGCTGCTATCACTACATAAAAATAAGTGTTCATTCTTTTAATTTTTTAAATTGGTCTTTTGATGTTATGCATATAACGATTTAGAAATTGAAAAGCATCTGATACGCGGGCAATGGATATGTTAAAATTTATAAAAATTAAAATTATAAATATAAAAGCCAATATGAAGGAAAACATTCCTCGACAAGTATTTACAGTCATATGTACGCATGTATGTATATATATATAAATACATTATAGATAGATAATTGTACATACGCATGTAATAATAATATCGTATATATAAATAAGAATGTGTTGTGTAGCGTTCGCGTAAGGAACCAATTTAATTATAATATCCTTTTGAATTATGACAAAACTGCGTGAGTGATTATGCGACGTATAAATTCCGAATACAATGCACAAGAACGCAATGTCAAAAATAATATATATTATAAATATATAC